AATTATTGTTGATCCCCCCCGTGCGGTGCACGTTGTTTTTTTGATTGAAGTGCCCTTCCCGGGGCTCGCGCCCTGTTTTTTAATAGGGAAAGTCTTGAGGGTCAAAATGTGTCGTTGGCCCCCGGTTTACAACAACAACTGCTCCCGCCTGATATTTCCTCACAATTTATTGAAGAATCGCGCTCTCGATTGGGACTTCCTTGCAATTTACAACCTGATCGCGGCTCCCGTTGGATACTTGCTTACCATTTATTGAAGAATCGCGCTCTCGCTTGGGACTTCCTCGCAACTGACCACCGAATCTCCGCTCCCGCATGATACTTCCTCACAATTTATTCAGATGCCGCTCCTCGACACTCAGGAATCGCGCTCCCGCGACATGTTGCCTTGCGGTTCAAGCAGAATTTGCGATTCAACGACCCGCCCGCTCGACCCGCCCGTCTGGGCCTGCCCGCCCGACCAGCCCGTTAGGGACTGCAGTCGCCGTTCGCTGCCCTTCGCCCGCCTTCGATGCCCCTCGCTGCCCATACTGGTTCCGCGGTCGCCTTCGCTCGCTGCCCTTCGTGGCCCCGTTGCTGCCCTCAGTGGCCCCGTCGCTGCCCATTGTGGCCCCGCATTTTATGCCGTTCGTGGCCCCCGCTCGCAGTCGCCCGTCGTGGCCCCATACGCATGCCCTTCGTGGCCCCGCTGTCGCCCTTCGTGGCCCTCTCGCTGCCCTTCGTGGCCCCTTTGCTGCCTTCAGTGGCCCCGCTGTCGCCCTTTCTGGCCCCATATACGAATGCCCTTCGTGGCCCCCGCTCGTTCGCGCCCGTCGTGGGCCCATATGCATGCCCTTCGTGGCCTTGCTGTCGCCCTCCCCCTCTCTGCCCTTCGTGGTCCCGTTTCTGCCCTCAGCGGTCCCGTCGCTGCCCTCTGTGGCCCCGGATTAATTGCCCTTCGTGGCCCCCGCTCGCTCGCGCTCTTCGTGGTCCCATACGCATGCGTTTCGTCGCCCCGCTGTCGCCATTCGTGACCCCCTCCCTGCCCTTCGTGGCCCACTTTCTGCGCTCAGTGGCCCCGCTGTCGCTCTTTCTGGCCCCATATATGCATGCCCTTCGTGGCCCCGGCTCGTTCGCGCCCGTCGTAGCCCCATATGCATGCCCTTCGTGGCCTCGCTTTCGCTCTTCGTGGCCCCGTTTCTGCCCGCAGCGGCCCCGTCGCTGCCCTCTGCGGCCCCCTATACGTATGCCCTTCGTGGCCCCCGCTCGTTCGCGCCCGTCGTGGCCCGCGCCAACAATTGCTCCCGCTTGATAGCTCGTGCAAATTAATGAAGAATCGCGCTTTCGCTTGGGACTTCCTTGCAATTCACCGCCGACTCGCAGCTCCCGCTTGATACTTCCTCACAGTTTATTGGAGAATCGCGCTCTCGCTTTGGACTTCAACCATACGCATGCCCTTCGTGGCCCCGCTGTCGCCCTTTGTAGCCCTCTCGCTGCCCTTCGTGGCCCCTTTGCTGCCCTCAGTGGCCCCGCTGTCGCCCTTTGTGGCCCCATATACGAATGCCCTTCGTGGCCCCCGCTCGTTCGCGCCCGTCGTGGCCCCATATGCATGCCCTTCGTGGCCCCGCTGTCGCCCTCCCCCTCTCTGCCCTTCGTGGTCCGTTTCTGCCCTCAGCGGTCCCGTCGCTGCCCTCTGTGGCCCCGGATTAATTGCCCTTCGTGGCCCCCGCTCGCTCGCGCTCTTCGTGGTCCCATACGCATGCGTTTCGTCGCCCCGCTGTTGCCATTCGTGACCCCCTCGCTGCCCTTCGTGGCCCACTTTCTGCGCTCAGTGGCCCCGCTGTCGCTCTTTCTGGCCCCATATATGCATGCCCTTCGTGGCCCCCGGCTCGTTCGCGCCCGTCGTAGCCCCATATGCATGCCTTTCGTGGCCTCGCTTTCGCTCTTCGTGGCCCCGTTTCTGCCCGCAGAAGCCCCGTCGCTGCCCTCTGCGGCCCCCTATACGTATGCCCTTCGTGGCCCCCGCTCGTTCGCGCCCGTCGTGGCCCGCGCCAACAACGGCCCCCGCTTGATAGTTCGTACAATTTGATGAAGAATCGCGCTTTCGCTTGGGACTTCCTTGCAATTTTCCGCCGACTCGCAGCTCCCGCCTGATAGTTCCTCACAGTTTATTGGAGAATCGTGCTCTCGCTTTGGACTTCCTCGCAACCATACGCATGCCCTTCGTGGCCCCGCTGTCGCCCTTTGTAGCCCTCTCGCTGCACGAAGGCCCCTTTGCTGCCCTCAGTGGCCCCGCTGTCGCCCTTTGTGGCCCCATATACGAATGGTTCCACGAATGTTGTTTCTGACGCCAGTTCGCAGCTGTAGGCCCCCCGTGGGGGTATCCACGATCTGCTCTTTCAAGGGGGTGGTACGTGGCGCTGTTTATGGCGCGGCCCATGGCGAAACTTATTGTTAACCTGTGTTGGAGTGGCTGGCGCAAGCCACGGCGCAAGACAAATTGCCACTCGGAACGCACATCATCGTCCTCCCTCCTTCTTGCCCCCCCTCCCTTCCTCCGATCCCTTCGTCCTCATTCTCCCACGTTTTCTGTTACCCTTCGTTTTCAAGGGCTTTACCAACCACGCGTGACAGGGAATGAATATACCCCCCAAAAAGGGGTCCGATCGAAGACGAATGGGGCTGGTATCCAGAGTTTGGGATATGCGTATTGAACGGCACGCGAGCATATCAGAGCGAACAGTCTCAAGATGATTGTTGTTGTTGTTGTTGTTGTTGTTGTTGTTGTTGTTGTTGTTGTTGTTGTCAGGCTCTACCTACCCGATGGGCCCGTCTGGTTCTGCCACGTACTTTCTTCGTCTAGCCTCCTCCTGCTCATCCCGTGCTCCATCTTTCTCTTTCCCCCTTTCCATCAGTGTTTTTTTTCCCCTTGTACCAGGCGCTTCACCAGTTACACGCGGCAGGTAATGAGACTATACCCCCAGTGGGGTACGATCGAAGGCGAAGAGGTCGGGTATCGAGTGTTTGGGACATGGCACGCGAGCCTGTAAGAGCCAACGGTCTTAAAGTTATTGTGTTTTTTGTTGTTGTTGTAGTCGTCGTCTATGTTGTTGCTGTTGTGCATGATGGTGATGATGATGGTGCTGATGCTGCTGATGATAAGAGAGAGCGTGATCCACCGCCGCTTTATTGTGCAAAATTGCCAGCCTTTTCCTCCGGAGCCCGGGGGTCGCCCCCCCCCCTCCCTCCGAAAAAAAAACTCCTGCTGGACCCCCCCCCCTCCCCCGGCAGAACCGCAAACCCCCCCCTCCCCTAACCCCTCCCCGCCCCCCCCTCCCCCTCGAAAACCGGGGGGGTCACTACCGGTTCGAGCCCCTCCCCCCCCCGCCCCTCCGGATCCAGAAAACCCGGAGGGGTCACTACCGGTTCGAACCACCCCCCCCCCCCTCGAAAACCGGAGGGGGTCACTGCCGGTTCGACCCCCCTCCCCCCACGCACCGCCAGCAAACGACTCCCGGTCCCTACCACCGTCCGCATCACATCCCCCACTGTTGTTCCCAGCACCACTGTCCTCACCACCACTGTCCCCACTGGTTCCACCACCGTCCCTACTGTCCCCACCAGTGCCCCCACCACTGTCGCACTGTCCCCACTGTTCCCACCACTGTTCCCACCACGGTTCCACTCTCCCCACTGTCTCCACGGACCCAACCACTGCCCGACTATCCCCACTGTCCCCACTGTCCCACTGACTCCTCCGCTGTCCCACTGAGCTGTCCCACTGTTCCCACCACTGTCCCCACTGTCCCCACCACTGTCCCCACTGTACCTCTGTCCCATTGTCCCACCGCCGTCCTCGCCACCGCCTTCACCACTGTCCCCACCACCATTGTACCCTCCACTGTCCCACTGTTTCCACCTCATTCCCACTGTCCCCACACCACTGTCCCCACCACACTGTCCCCCCCCACCATTGTCCCCCCACTGTCCCCACCACTGTCCCCTGTCCCCCAGTGTCCCACTGTCCCCACCACCCCACCACTGTCCCGCTGTCCCCCACCACGTCCCCACCACTGTCCGCACCCCCACTTGGTTTTCGAGGGGGGGGGGGTCGAACCGGTAGTGACCCCCCCCGGTTTTCGAGGGGGGGGGAGGGGTTCGAACCGGTAGTGACCCTCCCTTCTTTTCATGGTGAACTGGGGGGGGGGGGGTTCGAACCGGTAGTGACCCCCCCTGTTTTCCGGAGGGGGGGGGGGAAGGGTTCGAACCGGTAGTGACCCCCCCCGGTTTTCCGCCAGCAGCGGTAGAACACGCTCTTTCATAATGGTGACCATGATGACGATGATGATGCTGATGATGCTGGTGGTGGTGATGATGATGATTATGATGATGATTATGATGGTGATGGTGATGATGATGATGGTGGTGGTGGTGGTGGTGACGCGCAGGGTGATGATGGAGGTCAAACCCCTTGGGATAATGACCACAAGGCTGGTTTTGATGTCCACGCGCACGTGGAGCAAAAGCGACAGGCAGGCCGAAGGCCGGCGTGGCAGGCAGAGGTAGGAGGTAGGAGGTAACATTGGCGCAGCGTTGCAAGGGACTTCGGCTTGTTCCAGTGGTGGCCAAGGTCATGAATTTCAGGGGTCCCATGGGCCATCATTACCCCCCGAAGTTGCGATTGCGTTGTTCCGTGGGCTCCCGAGAGGTCTCGTCCCTCCCCATCGGGGGCCAGACTTCCATCCTGAACCGTGCTCTGGCGGTCCGGGAACCCTGCGTATGGGCCCCACGGAGGCCGAGAGCGAGGGACCACGAGGGGCCAAGAACGAGGGGCCACGTGGGCCTTGGCCACGGGGGCGCCCGGGCATCTCTGCCAGGGCGTTCGCCTTCGCTGCCAGCCCCGTGATGCTGCTCTCGGGCTCTCGCGCGCGCCCCTCGTCTCGCTGCCCACCCCGTGCTGAAGCTCTGTGTATAGATATATACACTTCACGACGCGCGGGGCTCTGGGCTCCTTCTCGGGAGGCGTGCCCCAACTACGACCTCTGCGGCGAGTGCTTCCCGCAGAAGCGGTCGCTGCACGGCGGCGCCTGTGCCGACCACGACTTCACGTGCCCTGGCCCCGCCCGCGCGGCTGGGTCTCTGGCGCTCTCTCTAGGGGGAATGAACAGTGACATAAACATAGAAACTCGGAGGCCCCCGCGGATTTCTCGGATCGGCACTGAAGCCCCCTGGCGGCGCCTCCGGCGCCGCCCTTGGCGCGCTCCGCCAAAGGGGGGGGGGTCCAGCACCGATCCGAGACATCCGCGCGGACTTGCGAGTCTTTCTGTTAGTGTCACTGGTTGTTTTCCTACTCTCGGGGCAGTCGAATCGAGAGTCAGCTCCTCGACCCTGCAATGTCGAGGCCCCCCCGTGTCCTGTCAGTCTCGTTCCATGTCCTCCTGTACAGTCGGGGAGAAAGTGTAAGAAGAGACTCGGTTCGGGAAGGCTGCCCTGAGGTTCTTCGGCATATTTCCAGGTCATTGTGCAGCCTGGGACAGGCACCCTCGATGTTCTTCAGCTTGACTCGTTCCGCTGTGGCTTTTGCGGATTTCGGCCGGTGGATCAGGTTCGTCGGAATGACTCTTGTCTTCTGTCCTCTCTCCGTTTTTAGCGCGCTTCATGGCCTCTCTTTGTCTGGTGCACTGGTGCTCTCGGAAGCGTCTTGTGACAAGTTGCGTCCTCTCGCGTGTCCTCTCGTGGTCGTCGTCGTCGTCGTCGTGGCAAGAGTCTTGCGAGAAGTTGTATCCTCTCGCGTGTCCTCTCGTCGTCGTCGTCGTCATCGTCGTCGTCGTCGTCGTCGTCATAGCAAGAGTCTTTGACAAGTTGTGTCCTCTCGCGCGTCCTCTGCATTCGGCTCTGGCCAGAATCCTTACCCTCCCAGCCTCTGACAGGCCCCTACGGCCCGATCACCTGCCCGTCGTCGCCGACGTTTTTTTTTTATTTTTTTTTTCCGTCGTTGTCTTCGACGTCGTCCCCATTCACGGTACGTGGTGACCTGAATTCCTCACTCCAGTGGACATTCCGCAATCCGCGGGTATTTGCAATGCGCACAAGACGCGATATTTCTAATTCTCGTGGGCGGAGTCTTATGTAAGGCGTACAATTTGCACAGATCAGCTGGGAGATCAGGAAACCCACTGTTTATAATGTTCCAGAGATCTCCGCATACCGGTAGCTGTGAATATTGTAGTGGCCTCCGGCCAGTGCCGCTGATCTGGGGCGCTTCCGTCGCTGCCGGAAGCGCACGATGGGGGACATGACCGGCGACGACGGCGAGCGGTGAGGATGATGATGAGGAGTGGGAATGGAGGCAACGGAGTAGGATGATGATGCTGATGATGCTGATGATGGTACTGATGATGATGATGGTTATGATGATGATGATGATGATGATGATGATGATGATGATGGTGATGATGATGATGATGACGATGAGGAGGATGATGATGATGATGATGATGATGAGGGTGATGATGATGATCCTGAGGATGATGCTGATGATGGTGATGATGATGCTGCTGATGATGATGATGATGATGATAATGATTATGATGGTGATGATGATGATGATGGTGATGATGATGATGATGGTGATCATGATGATGATGATGATGATGATGATGATGATGATGATGATGATGATGATGATGATGATGAGGATGAGGAGAGGAGGAGAGGAGGAGAGGAGGAGGAGGAGGAGGAGGAGGAGGAGGAGGAGGGAGGAGGAGGAGGAGGAGGAGGAGGAGGAGGAGGAGGAGAGGAGGGAGGAGGAGGAGGAGGAGGAAAAGGAATATCATAGTGAGGTGGAAGGGGGTGGGGGGGATGGGTAGATGCAGGAGTAACAGGATGATGAGGATGAGGAGGAGCAGGAGGAAGCGGGAAGTGGAAGGGGGGGAGGGGGAAAAGTAGGAGCACGACGAGGATGAAGAGATTTTCGGCGGTTGTTGGAGATGTTCGTCGGTTGTTGGAAAGCCTTTTTGGGACCAGGTGTTGGCCCTCCTTTGGCTGACACCTCGCCGATTTGGCGCACTCTCCGACAAACTGTGTGTTAGAGCTATCTGCGTCACAGTTCTTTGTGGAACTTTGTGCATCACCCGTTTCTGCTGGGAGCCATGGTGTTTTTGGGATCTCTGGGGCCTTCGCGCGGTCCTCTGCGGGCCCTTGTGAGATCATGGATGTGAAGGACATTGAAGACGGGAAAATATGTGAAACCGTGGAAGATTATTTTCTATTGCCGCGCTTGTGTTCACACGTAAGCTTCGCGGAATAATTGGGGCCAGTTTTGGGCTTCTCGGGGGGAGTCTTGGGGGCAGCTTGGAGGAAGGCGTATTGGGTCTTTTTGTGAAATTTCTGGGGGCCTTTAGGGGGCCTCAGGGGGCCTTTTCGGGGCCAGTCGGAAGCGTCATAGGGGCCTCATCAGACCTCTTGGGGGCCTGTGGGGGCCTCCCGGGTGCTGCTTGGGCCGTCTTTGGCACTTCTTCCGCCGGCTCGGCCTTTTTCCGGGGGCCTCCTGGGCCATCTTGGGCCTTTCCGGGGCAGTCTTGGAACCCTCTTGGCGGTTTTTTGGGCCGTTTTGGGTCTCTCTTGGGGCGTCTGCGACGGTCCGAAGGCCCAAGAGGCGAACGTGCTAAAATTGTACGGTGTCTCTTTGGGAATGGGGCGCTTTTTGCTTCTTTGGGCCTTCTTTGGGAGGCCTTTTCCAAGGCTTCTGAGGGCATCTTGGAGGCTTCTGGAGCCGTCTTGGGGGCATCTTTGGCCCTTTTGGCTTGTGTCGGGGCCCTCCTGGGCGATGGGGGCCGTCCCAGGGTGAGCTGGAGCTAAGATTCTGCCCCGGGAATTACATCGAACCACCACTTCCCCCCCCCCTATCCCAGCATAGCCACCCCAGCACCCACCCCCCAGAAGAGCTGAAACCCAGGAGTTGAGGCTCAGGCTGCTCTGAGGGTCTTTGAAACTCACACGCCGGATCGGCGGATTCCAGGGAGACGTCTATCCAGACTAATCCGGGAGACACGGACGGAACTTGGTCCGGGAAGACCCATAGGCGTTGCCATATATCAATTTGACATTTGACCACGCTGTTGCGTGTGATTTCGCGGAGCATTTCGGTTGAACATGCGGGTATTCATTTTCTTCAGCCGAATATTTGCCAGCGTGGACCCCAAACCGTGGGTTCTTGAACTCATGATGTGCAGCATGCGTGGCGCAATGTAGAGGACGTAAACTACATGATGGAACGTGCGTGGTGCAATTTGTTTTGTGGAAATTGTGTGTGTATTTCAAGGCCAGCCCGCAGTCCTTGTGCCAGCTTAGCCGGTTGGCCTGCTTGCTCGCTGCTCCGCCCACCGCGGTTCCTCTCCAGGTACCCGTACCGCCCATCGTCCCGCGCCTCGCAGGTCCGTGGATCTCGGTGCCTCGTACTGATTCGTCAGCTGGGCCCTTCCCAGCTACCCCCTGGCTCCTCTCCTGAGGTGGTCTTCTCTGGTTGCTCTGTCGCTTGGAAGGTCGGCTCGATCTCAGCGCTCAACCGCCTTGCTGTGCTGCCCCTCCCCAGCACCGCCTTGGCCTGTTTCCCCTGCCTCTCGCGGTTGCCTCTGGCTGCCGCCTCCCCGACTGCCCCGCGTCCGCCGCCCCGCCGTCCCTGCGCTGCCCCGCCGCCGCCTGGCCGCGTTCTGAGCGGGCCCGGCCTCTGTCTCCCTCTTTCCCGCGCTGGGCGTTCCCATTCGTTTTCGCGTGCGTTGCGGCTTAATTCGCATGTGTATGCCTTGCATGTGCCCCATTCGCCAGCGCAGCCAACTTGCCTGGCTGCCAGCAAAAAGTGTGCTCGTGTGTATGTGTATGGGTGTGTTTGTGTGTGTGTGTGTGTGTGTGTGCGTGCGTGCGTGCGTGCGTGTGTGTGTGTGTGTGTGTGTGTGTGTGTGTGTGTGTTTCGGGTGCAATCTATGTCATGGAGTAATAGAAGCGTCGTCGCAATCAAGGCGGCTCCGTCGTGCGGTTCTCGACGATACGTCGACGTTGAGGCGCTCTTCAAAACTTGAGGCACAACGCGTACTCTTGGCTGAATTGCCCGCTCAACATTGAAGGGTGCACATGGGCTCTTGGTTCAATACCCCCGCAGTTCGCGCACTTTGATGCGCCGGCTTGAACTCTGGAGGCCAGGGGCAACTTCCTTGCTTCGCGATTTCAGTTTTGTGTCGCTACTTACGTCGATAATTCTTTGCTAGCCGGGTGGCCCGTCGACTAGGGTCTGCTTGTTGCTTGGATTTGTTGGGGGAGTTTGATGATCAAAATGCGACAATGGAGTATGGACGAGCAATATGAACAGGAAGAGTAGCAACCGAGGAGGATGATCAGGAGGAGAAGGAGGAGGAGGAGGAGGAGGAGGAGGAGGAGGAGGAGGAGGACGAGGAGGAGGGGGAGAACGAGGACGAAGAGGAGGAAACGGACTGGGAAAAACGGTTCTCGAGAGCGATCCGGCCTGCCGAGGACGCGCAGTTATTGCGTGTCGTTTCATCGCCTGTTCCGCCGAGTTTGGTGCGTTTGGCAGTGTACGCCAAACAAAAAGTAGGAAAGTAGAACGATAATGCTGGTGCCAAAAATAAGGAGTCGCTCATGATGCTGCGAGGGATGCTGATGATGATGATGATGATAATGATGGTGCTGATGATGATGGTGATGATGATGATGGTGATGATGGTGATGATGATGACGATGGTGATGATGATGGTGGTGGTGGTGATGATGATGATGCTGACGATGATGATGATGACGATGATGATGATAATGATACTGATGGTGGTGATGATGATGCTGTAAATGGCGGTGATGATGCTGATGATGGTGATGATGATGGTGATGCTGGTGGTTATGATGATGCTACTTGTGATGGTGGTGATACAGATGATGTTGTTGATGATGGTTTGTTCTTGAACTGTAGTCGTACAGCCGTGGAGGGCCGTGCAGTTGCGAGCTTGCGATATCCGCAACCCGCCACGGCTGATTTTTTTGTGGAGGCCTTAGGAGGCCTGCGCGGGAGGACCGCGCATGCGCCCCGTGGCCCGTGGCGTGA